TTTGCCACCAGGATCTTGGCACTGGGGGATTTTGCAAGTTCATAATTTTTTTCACTTCCCTCTGCATACGTCATGCAGTATTCCTGCTGGGGTCTTGTATGACCATTGAATATAGATAATTCAATCTAATATATGTGTCTAAGTCCAATTATATTTATTAAATTGTGTATTTCATCAATTATGCATTAGTGTAATTATTCTCCGGCCATTTAAAAACAACCACACATCAAAACTAAAAGACACAAACAGACATTTTATAGTGTGAAAGACCATTGCCTGGTTTGGGCTGAAGTGTAATTCTTATTTTGTCCAACCCTAGTGACAAAACTACGGTCCGGATTGTTTATATTAAACCAGCTCATAGTTCAAATACACACCCAGCATCCGATAGTATGAGGTTATCGCTGCCTTCTGATACTACCGCCCATTGTATCATCATTATGTAGTCTTTTGTTTTGTCATTTGTGTCCTATGCATTAAAAGAAGCAAGCTTGGTAGGTCATTGCCAGTCTACTCCATAATTCTACACTGCTACCATACTTCTTTGTTGAATTTACTTTTGGCCACTCAAATTTACATTCCTCCATAACATAACATAAAAAAACATACATGTTCAACTTCTTTGAACTTTCTTTGTAATTTCCTCTCTAGTTTTATCATTCAAACTGTTATTGAGAGCTTAATAATCCTAATATTATACAATCTCCTCTTTCACTTCCGCTGTGAAACCACCCTGTAACCAAGCCATTTTAAGTCTCATTTGTTTTTATCGACGTGACAGCTCTGTATTTTAGGGCTGTTTAAATGTATGAAAGTCAAGGGAGGGAAGGCAGTTAGTCTTGGCTTCCTGGGTCCTACACAGTCTATAAAGCAGACTAGTCAAGTGGAAAATAATGGCAACCGGGCCATAAGGGTTCAGCCCCCGACAAAAAGTGAAAGGGGATGGCTCCATTTGACTTCAGATGAATGCGGTTAGGTTTCACACAGGCACTAATGCAGCTGGGATAGGGTTGCATTGAAGACCCAAGACACATGACCCGCATAGATGTGGGTTTAAATAATGATTAGATGAAACATTTTCTCTCTTTGTGTTTTCATTCACACGCTAAGAGTAGTTTTATCCCATTGCAATTTTTATGTTTTATCAATTTAAAGCAAGTTAAAGCTGGGGTATGTAACTAGGGTATGCAACTTTCAAACCAGAAACTTGATTGAATGAATGAATGAATACTTTATTTCGAGCCATGGCAAACAAGAACAAAGAACAACAACAAAATGAAAAAACAAAACAAAAAAAACAACACAATACATACAGTATGTTTTTATTAGCAAAACATCAGCTCGAAAAAGAGTGGGAAAGAAGTTAAGACGCTAAACTTCATAACAATGTCATGAAACCCGTTTTACTAGTCCTTGCTCTCAAAATTCACTATAGTTTTCTCATGCACATATATTTTTGGGCAAATACTGTATTTAAATCACTTTTTTCAGATAGAAAAGTTCAAAAAGAAATGACCACCCAATCGGCTCTTTCCTCCAAGTATATGCTGTAGATAACATTTTCTACACACATGCAAGATAACTTATTTTTTATACTTTTACACGAATATTTTTGCTGGGACAAACATGAAATATGTATTCAAATATATTAAACAAGTTTGACACGCCAGCTTTAAGGTTCCTTTGTTAGACAATATAATCAGATTTATTCAGAAGACATAATTTTATATCTTGTACTTGTCTGAGTGAAGGCCTAGAAGCAAAAAATTATACCATGTCTGTTTGCAGAGCTAGTAAGTAATAATTTAACACTGTGAATCAACCCTGCAGGTACAACAACAAAGAGAGCAGTTTATCATCACAAACTTTTCTCAGGTCTGAAATGTACTTTTAATTTCTCAGATCAATATTAATAATTGATGTTTGTGCAGTGTGCATTCTCCAAGGGATATTTCATTACCTTTCATAACCGTTGTTTATTATTGACTGGGCGTATGGGAGTTAAGCCTAGAGATATTTGTCCTGTTTCGTCTCAAAAAACCTTGCCTAAAGAAGAACCCAAACTTTTCAAACACTGACTGAAGCTTCATGAATGTTAAGAGTGAGAAATGGCTTGTGGTGGAAACCTTTCTACAGTGTCCTCTATATGAATAATAGTATGAATGGCATACGTGATTGGCTTTGAGGGCCGATAATCACTCACACACCACATACTGCTGCTGTCAACAACACTGGTCTGATTGGAGAATAATCCAACAATCACTTTCATGTCTGTCAACTCTAGGACGGGATCTGCCAGAATACAGTCTGGCAGGCCTGCTTGGCGGATTAACTAAATGTGTGTTAAAACCAATATGGCACTTTACGAGAAATAGATAATTGACAAATAATTAAACAGACGGGTAATTAAGGAACAGATGCATTATTATTTACAATGAATGAGCAAAGCAAAGAATCGGTTATACAGTGAAAAGCATAAAATCGCATGTGAAAATACATACTTTTTGTGTTTTCAGGTCATAAATTATGTCAAATAGCAATCATGTGAGAACAAAGTGATGCTCAGATCCTATAGTTTAAAATTGTGGCGTAAAGGACAGCTGTAAAAGTAGTTTGAAGCTAATTTCTGTCATTCCTGGACCAATCCACATGAAACAGAAAAACTTCTTTGTCAGAAAAAACTGTCATAAAGCTAAGTGGTGCCAATATTTAAAAAAAAACACGTGCATGACGTTGGCTATAGAAGAAAGGACTCTCAGGCATGATCCAGGAAAACATTTGGACTTTTTATTTTTCCTGTAGAGTTGTATTGACATCGGACTCAAATAAGATTCTACAATATAAATGCGACCTGTTGGCTTGATACCACATTTTTGATACAGGTAAATTATTGTGAAAAAATATTACTTTAAGCAAACAAATAAAGTGTCTTTGTACAGTGTGCGCATTTGCAAATGGGAGGATCTGATATCACTTAATAATCAATAGTCCAGGATGTTGATGTTGTTTGCCCAGGATCAATGTTTCATTGCGTTAGGGTAGGAGTAGGGGTTAGGGGTTAGGGGTTAGGTTTAGGGTTAAGGTCAGGGCTTGGGTTCACTGTGGTTAGGGTGAGAACTACAGTTAAGAAAAGGGTAAAGGTGAGGCTCCATGAATCAACTTAATTAACTCCTTGCATGCCATTGACATATTTTTGTCGGGTGATTTCATTCAAACTTCCCTCAACTTGACTGGGGATTACAGGAGAACAAAGGAAGCTAGAAACACTTATTTTGATAATGAAAGTTGATAATGAAAGTTGTCAGATCTCAGAATCTGGTTTCAGATTTCACATAGTAAACAACATTCTGTGGGTCTTAAAAAATCAGTGAAAATCATCAAAAAAGGCTGACAGTCAATGAGTTAATATATTATATCACATTGTGCATTCATATAGTCCTTTTTTTCAGGAGAATTGAATGCGTTTTAAGGCAAGACGCTTCACCCACATTGTTTGTTGCTGTTCATAGTTCATGGTTGCTGACTCTGCTGTCATCAAAGAAAACATGAGTAGGACTGGAGAACCACATTTATGTATAGCCATCGTTTAAATCCAAAAGAAAAAATGAACAAACAAAAGGTCATACATAATAAACAAATAACAGCCTATGTGTTTAAACAAGACACTTGGGCCTTACCTAACTCTGGTGTGAATGTGCTAGTTTTTATGTGTGGGCGTATTCTTAAAGCAGTCATAAGTACCTTCTGGCATCAACATTAGAACTCTTACTCAGACAAATTCTCCCTTCTGATGGAGCACACTTGTCGGCGAGGGGAGAGACGAGGGTTGCCATGCAGAAAGATATTCTCCGAGTTCAGTGGCTGTGTGTAAATGACTCCTCTGTCGTGGCGTGTTAAGTGTAACTTCTTGACTGTGATTGCATGATCACACAGAATATAAAAAAATAAAAAAATTAATATTACATTAAAAACAAACATTACTAGTGCTGTCCAACGATACATTTTTAAAATCTTGATCAATCGCAGTTTACTTTTAATTTTGTATCTATTCTCCAAGTCCCTTGAGTTATCATTTCAATACTCTTATCAATGTGGAAAAGTGAATCACTTACAGTGTGCAACTGTCTCACATTTTTGGAAGACTGATTTTATCCACTTAAATCTGATCTGCCGCCTCCCCTTGTTTAGCAGGAGACCAGTCCCTGTGCTCCTCAAAGTCCAAGTTGCTTCATATAACACAAACATGTCACATGTGCGATGGAGAGACTTGAACACAAGCTGCTTTAAAGTCTATTCTCTGAGTCAATGAAAGCCAACGCAGAGACTTGAGAACTGGACTAATGTGGTCATACTTCCTGGTGAAACAAGTATGAAGGCTAAAAAATTCTTTCAGTTTACAAATCCCAAAGTTAAATTTATTTTACTCCTAATTTTAAAATTACAGGCTTCAAAAAATGTTCCCACCTCTACACCTTCTCCAGCGACACCCACTGATGACTGCTGTCGTTGTGTCCTTGGGCAAGACACTTAACCTCTCTTTGCCCAAAGGCCCCCACTGAAAGATCAAGGCTATGCTCACACTCAGAGAGCAGCCGTCCTCCTGTGGACTCACCACCTGCAGAGGGTCAGTGAGGGGCTGGTGCTATGAGACTTGGGTGGCATCTCTGACTGCCACCCCCCTGACCCAGAAATGGATTAAAGGGTAGAAAATGGATGGATGGATGGAAAAAATGTTGTTCAATCATTGTCACACCGGATAAGTTTCCCAAACAAATTTAGAGGCTCTACTTTTGTTTTAAAAAGGCATACAACTGCTCTGAACCTGACGTCATAGTGTACAATGGCATCATACTGTTACAGGACTGAGACAGGAGCTTTTAGACAGAAGGGGCAGCCTGGGGTTTGATGACAATATTTTGATATTTCTAGTTGACAAAATTATTTCTAGTTATGACAAAACCATGCTTTCAACTGTTGTGCTTGTGCTTCTGTCCACAGCCATGGGAGTGCTCATGTCCAAAAAGCAACAGGTGGAGAAGGTTCAGAAGTGCAACGCTGTGGTCTCCGCCTTCCAGTCCGGCATGAAAGACCGCCCGCTTGCAGCCAAACTAGCCGAGGCTCCAGAAGACAGCGACAAACCCGGACTCTCTCCTAACAGCCCGACAGAGGAGAGCAAGACCAACGAAAAGACGGAGAAGTCTGAAGCGGAGCTGACTGCGGCACCATCCACGTCTCAGCAATGCTCGCTTCCCGGTCGCGAAGAGTGCAAGGTGAACCAGGAGTCGTGGTCAAGGCTCCGGGACGGGAAGGGGGTGGAGCCTGAAGATCTGGACAAAAGCCATCAGCTGACACCGCCGGCGTTCGTGAGGCCCAAACGAGAAGCCGACGACGCTCAGCCGCTGGACATCGAGCTGGGGATTACAGAGCAGGTTTGTGGTGGGACATATTGGTTGTATTCATGACATATTAGAACATTCCAAAGAGCCTATAGTCTACATTTATGGTAGAGGGCAGTCTGGAAACTTTGTCAGAATTTTTTGTCTCAAATTTAAAGCTGATTTCTGGGTAATTCCTGAGCCAATCCACACAAACAAAAAACTGTCACAAAGTTCCACATGTTCTTTGTACGTATAGTAATTATGGTCCCTCTATGTTCTCATAAAGGTCGAGAAGCGATGATGATATTCAAGAAAATATATGCATAATGATGTCCAGTATAAAGGATTTTCAGACATAACAATAATATGGCGGGTTCGTTGAATCTAGTCATGATCAAACCTTGATCTTGGAAATTTTCTTTTTCAACATTTCTTTGCAAATCGGCTAGAATCCCATAGAGTTGTAATATAATTCTAGAAACCTAATGGCAATCATATCTTGTCCTGGAGTGCTGTCGTGGAGTATTTTGTTATATTATGCTGACACCAACACTCAATTTACAGCAAACCCATTATAATATTTCACTCTTAGAAATGTTAAAGACAAATTCTCTTAATGTACTTCATAATAATGTGGTGTTCATTAAATCAGTTTTTGAAGAGGTAGTTACTTTCAAGGAAAAATCCGGGATCCAGACAGAAAAGGTAAGACAACAACAAACCTTCATTTGTCCTACAGTGGGGAAGCAGCCCAAAAAAAATAAAAAAAATAAATCTACGGCAATAAATCAGATCACCTTCAAGATACAGTCTTTGGTTCCTAGTCCCAGAGACATGCACAATGGGGCAACAGTTCAAACATTAAGGACCCACTTTTATTCCCTGGCTTTGAGCACAGTGTGAATTGTGTGGTGCTCTTAAAAAAAAAATATATATATATATCACATTACATATATTAGTGATTTATTCATTTCATATCTCTTTTACTTATTGTTAGCAGGCTTATGATTTGTATTTGTACTACTATGGTAATACATATCTTTGCACTTTGTCCATAGAGAGCGGCATGACCAATGTCCATAATTGTCCATAAATGTCCTTAAACGTCCATAAATGTCCTTAAATGTCCATAAATGTCCATAAATGTCCGTAAATGTCCTTAAATGTCCCAGATCATCACTGTCCTAGACCTTCCTGCATCGACAGGGACGACTCAAAAACCCTGTGGGAAACATGTACATCTAAATCTAAGAATGTTTTTTGTATTTTAGTAAAAATTTAGTCTAACCCAGAATACACACTTTAAAAGACATGTAAGAGGATGTTTTGATTTGTCCAATTGTGTGGTATAGAAGAGCTACAGTGCAAGCCTAAAATATTTGGTGCTGTACATTTTTCGCATTGAACATTTTTGCACATTAGTTAATCTGCAGCTGACATTTCCCAAGCATCTTTTCCCATGTTTCAGACTTGTATAATAATCAGGCAGTGCTGCACAAATCCCTGTGTAGGGGCTTAGCATCTCCTCAGCCCACCACTGCCTTTCAAGTCTGTGCCAGAATCACACGTGTAATGACAGCAGTCGGCTTCGAAAGCGCCTCAACGTCGATTCAAAACAGTCATTATCGTTGTTAAAGTCTCGAAGAATGCATTACTCAAGTTTATAGAAACACATCAGGGTGTTTCTGTTTACTCTTCATCTCTATCATGCAAAATAATGTGTTGGTTTTGTTGGTTGCCATGACACATGATACGGAGCAGCACTTATGTGTTTGAAGATACATGAGATAGAATATGTGTTTTTATTTCATAACACTAACACATAAAACAAAAGGAATCAACTTTTGTCTAAACCTTGAACTTTGGAGTTATATGCATCTTTAAAGAATGAGTACAGAACACACCAAAGGGAGCGGCCATTTTGGGATGAGTAAAGCTTTTCAACTCGATACTATTCATCAGAAATCTCCAAAATTCTGCCGGGAGGATTAATGTTTTGAAATGCAAAACTATGATGTAATAATAACACATAAACATTATGCTCAAATATGTTTAAATATGTTTGAATCAATGGTGTTGCCTTTGTTCCAATTGAAGCCAATCAACACTTTTATTGCTTATATTTTAATAATAAAATAATTCACTGTCACACCATATTCAAAGGCAACGTGGGAGACGTGTCTTTCCTAAGGACACATCGATACATTAGCACTTTACAGCCTCAGCCCATTCACTTTGGCACCTGTTTCCCAATGCTCTCCCATCACAGTGTGGGCCTCTGGTAAGCAGGTACGGCCACATCATGAATGGATTTCCCTGTTCAAAAGGAAAATACCGTTTTATAACTGAATATCGTTTTACTGCACATTCATTTAGAAGATAGTAGTTCTTACTGCATTGTTGCTAATAAATCACACACACACATTGTCCATGTTTATTTATTTATTTCTTTATTTCAATAGTGGACATGACAATACTCAATCATCGACAAATATATCTCAGATGGACAGCATGGACCTTCTTAAAAACTGATTAGTTTCCTTTTTTTTTTTGTCATATTTTAGTGGCTTCTACAGTTTTACCCCAGCCACAGATATTCCCATGTTTTTCTGGGTGGTTGAAGGGAACAGAGAAGTAAGTTTCCTTCTGCTGTCCTGGTTGGGACCAATAGATATATGTATGTACTGTTTTTATGTAGCATGTGTACAGTATGAATTGGAATTGTACATTTGTAAAAAATATATATACAGTAATGATTTATTTTAATGCTTTTACATTATTTATTTTTCCCAAAACTGCGTGTATTGGTCCAATGCCACAATATTGAGGGAGGCGAACTCCAACTTCAAACTGTCAGAAAAAACACAATGAATGTAAACTATGGATTTGGGTGCAGACCTTTAAACGTCATAAATCTAGCTATACTAAACCAAGCCGGATATGTTACTCACATCAAAAGGGACCATTTGAAACACCTTCTCCTTTGACTCCCTTATCCCCAAATGCAGAACATGAAAGAGATGTCAGCAATGACAGGGTCTCCATGGCAACAGCTCGTCTCTCAAACCTCCCTGTGGACGCTGCAAAGGGAATCCTGTCTGAAGATGGGACACAGTTTTACTTTTCTCTCAGTATTTTTCACTCCAGAGCATTGAGAGGTGTTGTTCGCACACAAGGGCTCTTCACAGAATGTAGGTGGGAGGCTAGAGTGTTGCAAGAGGTGACTAGTGCCAGGCTCGCGCTGGCGGCTTATGGAGATGAGAGCAGAGTTGGGCTTCCAGTCAGAGAAGAACATGCACATTGACCATACTTTTTTTTTCGAACAATAACCAATATTGTTCTGGCATCACATTTCCCCGTCCCCATGCATGTTGAGAGGTAGCCCTGAATGTTTGAGCAATCTTTAAAATGCTGCCTTTTGCACCTGCAGGTTACTGTTACTGTTACATTGCCAATTAAACTTCCATTCATCTGCTGCTATGGAGGCACTTTGTTGGCTGGCGTAAATCAAGTTTTTTCTATAAAATTGTATTGTTTCACTAATATGCCATTGCTGACCAAAAGGGCAGGGGATCAGGACCAATTGGCAGAGAAATAGAAAACTGTTTATGTTTGTGTATCTAACCGGTTGTAAAATGATGTAAAAGGTTTTATTCATTAGTTATTGAACTTTACATATTTTCCATCTTAATTAGTCTTTAAAAATCCTGAAATTATATTAACAAAGACACATTCAACATGAAACCTGTCCTTCCATAATGTAAAGCCTTTTATCAATAATTGTTACGTAGCTCCCAGACCTCCATTCTCAGCTGGACGCACAGAGACCCATTCTGCTCCTTTAACAAAGATAAAATTGCCAGTTTCCTTCTGTGTGGCGACAAGGGAAAGTAATAAACGTCGATGAAAGCCAATCAGAAAGGGTTACAACAGTGAGCGGACAGGGGAGCGGCCTCATTCAGAATGAACATACAGGGAAATTAAACTGTGATATATTGATGTTCTTCCTTAGACTTAGGCAGACTTTATTGATCGCAATAATATACTGTAGACCAAGGTTGGCAACCCAAAAGGTTCAAAGATTTGCCCAAAAAACTAAAAACAAAGCTGTCTGGATTTGAGTCTTATCTGAAAAGTCTTATATGAAAAGTCTTTTATGACAAGTCTTATATGAAGGCAACACTGGCTGTTGGTGTATTTGACCTTTATTAGCCTACTTTCAAAATAACAAAGTATAGGCCACAAATACATAATAAGAATTAATGAGTAAATGTGTATTTTCCCTGCGGCACATTCTGGAGAGAATGAGCACCACGTGACTGCTCTGCTTTATGATATTTAGTGCTTTAAGTTTAACTTTCATTTTATTGCGTTGATGAAATAGTAGAAATACAATAAAGCAGTGGCGGCTGGTGGAATTTTCTACTGGGGGGGCTATGAATATGATGACTAGATATATACCAGCAGTAAGTAAGTTTACACTGACTGTTGTGACTGAAGCCTCACACGAGAATGAAATATTTATCTTCCCAAACATAGCTAATTTGAGGGCATTTTACATGTGGATACCAGTCTGCTCATGCTTCTTTGCCTTTTCTAAAAAGTGCTTCAGATCAGTCATACCTGTCTTGATCCATGCTGGGTCAGATCCTGATGTTTGAAACAAGAGGCATGGAAAGCAAAATAAAGCATTAGCCTCGCTACATGCTGCTAGCCAAGATTTGGCGCTGAACCAGGTCCTGGAAAAAGTACGAGTGTACCGTCTCCCCCTGTCGCTGGACTGCTGACTAATGGTAATATTTGGCTGATCAGGTCCAAGCTCTTTAACCTCAACCTTCTCCTGGTATGATCTTCTCTCAAACGGTATTGTTTTGAGTGATCTAACTGAATTATTCTTTTTCTCGTTCTCCATTTTGCGTCTCTTTACGTTCGTCTCAAACTCCCACAGCTTGACCTGTCAATCACTGTAAACGGACGTCACAGACAGTGACAGTACAGGTCGCGGGCGATCCCGCCCCCTCAGGGCGCACTTCTCCTGCACCCCCAAATCG